ACCAGTTTTGAAAACCTCTTTGTCAGCCCTCACCCTTACCTGCTAACACCCAGCTCTAATGGATGAAAACAGGGGCGATGATTATCATCGGCCCAGCCGGGGCCCTGCCTGTGTCTGCAGAACAGTCCATCTGGAGAGAAAAAGGAAATAAGGAGTGTAATTCAATGAGTACTTGGAAACCAAGCTCGAGGGTTTCTTTTTCCTTTTAAAGGCGTAGGGATATCAGAAAGCAGGATTATGAAATAGAAAGAGTTAGTAAAAATAGGATCTTTGTGCATTAGGATAGCGAGGCCATTGCAAATTGAATTACGCAGGATCGTGGCAATTAGGATTGGAAAAGATCTTTCAGTCTTCCTCTGTCAAAGCATGATTACTCCCAGTGGCACATTCTTCCCAGCTTAGTCCGGTCCAATTTTAAATGATTCAAGGGATGGAGCCTCCTTGGTTTCTCTTGGGATATCACCTCACAGTCTAACATGGCCAATTGCTAGGGGACTCTCCCCTTATATATATATATATTTTTTTTTGGCCTTATTTCTATTATTCTGTTCTGCATTTTCTTGCTCTACCATACAACTATTTTCACTTCATTTTAAATAACCTCAATTTATACTTAAATGATTACACGCAGCTGAGTCTGGATCTTCACAGCGAGGTTTATGTCTCTCTCGCTCTCTCACACAGGCACACGTAAACACCCGCCTATGTACACAGCATATGCACACTCGTACATGTAGTCACCTACATAAACACACGGATAGAACTTATTGCATGGCTACAGTGTGTTTTTGAGAAAGATCCATAAAGACTCCTAGTTTTCTAACCGTCATTGGTAAGATAGTCACAAAATGTCAATCGCATACTACTCTAAAACTGACAGAAGGAACAAATGGTACATTGGATGTCATTTTGCTTTGTGAATATGATATTTGTTTTACATGAATAAGATAAGGACCTTTCAATATGGTGTTTACTATAGCTTACTTCGAACAAATAATATAGATATACAATATAGTGCCAATGCCATAAATATATTTATAGGAAATAATTTACCCAAATGTATTTTTGCATCGAAATAACACTGACACCTACTTTCTTTGGGGATGGACTCAATCTAAATACGATCTGGGCTTTGAGCAGCAGAGAGCCTAGGGAAACCGCTTGGAGTATTCCAAGTTAGTGGAGGTTGCTTGAGAGTATTTAAATTTGATCAAAGAATTTGTAGACCTTCCCATGTCCTTTCCAAAGAGTTGCTCCAAGGTAATTTGTCAGCTAGGAAGATGAATACCTTGGAAAAAAGGAGGAAAATGTGTAAACAAATGATTCGACTTTCTTTGAAAAGATGGAATTCACCGTTTTTATGTATATGCGTTTTAATGTCATTAATCCATCTAATGTTCAAGCTGGAAAGAATTTTAGAAATCGTCTAGCTCAAGGATTATGCAGTCGTGATCTGGAAAAATTATAGAGCTTCTGTGCAGCAGTTTAAACTTACAGACTTGCTGGTTGGGTAAATTTTAGTTAAATATGTGTATTGGATATGCTTTTCTATCAAATTCCTGTGTAAATCTTGTAAAAATTACAGCAAAGAAATTCAAAAGAACAAAGAGGAAATGTTAGCGGAAGAGACATGTCTATGCAACTTTTTGGGAAGATAAAAACAAATGAAGTGGTAAATGAATAAGCCGAATAGAGAAAGCTAATAATATTTAACAGTTTTTGAGCACTCATTATCTGCTAAGCATTATTATAAAAGCTTCGCACGAGGGCTGGCTACTTAGCACAGTGGTTAAGGTAGCTGGGTCTCATGTGGCCGACCACGTGTTTTGAGTCCCAGACTCTGTGCCTGGAGAAACATGACAGGCTCATGTGCATGTGTGCCCAAAATCCTAAGGAAGGGACAGAAAAGAAGGGATTGCAGTGTGATCATTCCCCTGCCCCAGCCCCATCTCTCTCTGGCAAGCCATGTACTTTCCAGCAAAGGAAAAAACAAAAGCCTGGCTTCACTGGATTTCATTCATCTCACAACACTGTGACATACGTAGCCTTCTTTGTTTAGAAGATGATGAATCTGAGGCAGAAGTGAGTCAGTAACAAAACTGTTGATTTGTAGAAGTTAAACCCAGAGTGTCTAACTCAGATCTTTGCAGAGGAGAGCAGCAACAGCAGACAAGTCCAATTGCCCGTCGAACCTTGAAAAGACTCAGCAGTTGGAAGCACTTCCACAGTGGAAGGAGTGAGGGGTAGGGCTGAAACAGAATGACCAGTCGAAAGACTAGAAAAACAGACTACCAGCTCGCATTTACAAGGCCAGGCGAGTTAAGAGGATTGCAAGATTATTATTATTTTTTTTTGAGAGATTTTCACTGTAGGGCGTGTGCGCTCGCCAGACAGACAGAGAGAGACATAGAGACAGAAAGCGAGAAATCACCCCCCAGGGGGGATGGTCACACCGCAATCCTTTCTCCTCCATTCTCCTCTCGGGATCTTGGGCACGTACACACACGCGCCCGGCGTGAGTTTAAGCCACCGGGTCTGGGACGCGAACCGCGGTCGACTACGTGGGAGTCCAGCGACGCAGCCATTACGCTAACTGCTGGTTCCCAAGATTGCAAGATTATTAAAGGCAGAAACTGAGTCTCCTTGAAAACTTGTGTACAAAAACTGACATGTGGATTCCATAAAAAAAAATAACAGCTGACCACCTGATAGCCATACAGTGGTGCTGGACCGACAAGGCCCATTCATGGATGGAGGGTTTCCACGTAGATTGTACTGCATTATTATTTTTATTTGTTTATTTCTTCCATGAAAGAGAGTGACAGTGACTGACAGCATGCTTCGATCCACGCGCAGCCTCAGCCAGCCTGCATCACGGCGTGCGTGTGAGCCGGGTGTGCACAGGAGGCCTCAGGATGTGGGGCCTTCCCACACGAGTCTGGCACCACTGAGCCTTGTGCGACCGCCATGCCACTGGCTGGCCCTGCACTTTCCTTTTCTTTGCTTTTTTTCTTTCTTCTTCTTTCCTTTTCTCCTTTCTTTTCTTCTGTTTCCTTTCCCTTCCAAGTGCTATTTATTTCTTGAATGAAAGAGAGAGAGAGACAGAGAGAGAGACTTAAGCACCCTAAGGAGCCTCACGCTGCAGGCCCCTCCACAGCGTTCCCAGCCAGCCAGGGTCATGGGTGGCGTTTACAGGCCCTCCAGGGGCCACACCTGACCTTCCATACGGACCCAGCATTGCTTGAGCAGCGTGTTAATATTCCACCAAGTCTGCCCCTGCACCATTTTAAAATCGTTTTTAAAACTTGTTTCTTTCCTCCATGAGCAAGAGAGAGAGAAAGAGAGATAGCACCCCTAGCAGGGTCTGACGCCCAAGCCCACCACCAGCTTCTGCCAGCCCGGATATGGGCGTATGCCTGTTCGCCCTGCCCAGAGGTGTCCAGATGGAAACTTCAAATAGCCCTGTGTGCGTCGGCCTCTAGAATACCTGTTTTACCCCGCACCATGCAGGGAGACATGCACCGCTCGAGATGTTTGTTTCTGCTCACTGCTTTACCCTTCGGAAATCAGTTTCTTTCCCATCGTTTTTTTATCTCTCATTATTATTACTTTAATAAATGAATTTAAAATGTATTTATGATAGAGCATATGTATGCATGAGAGAGAGTGTGCGTTACCAACACCCTCTGTACAGCATTTTGTCTCTTTTTAAAAAATAAATAATTATTTAATTTAATTTAATTATTTATTTTTAATTTGACCAGAAAGGGACAGAGTGAGAGTGAGAGAGAGAGAGAGAGAAAGAGAGGGAAAGTGAGAAAGCAAGCCGCTAGGTCCGGGACTTGAACCACAGTCGGCCATGTGGGAGTCCAACGTCCTTAACGACCATGCCACCTGCCAAAGCCTCAGTTTTGAAGAAATACCTACTCCACAACTCAGAAATTATATTCCTCAGTAAAGACCCAAGAGAAATGAGTGTATAGATCTATAAACATTGACATAAGAATGTCCATGGGGCTGGCCCTGCAGCCCCGTGGTTGGGGAAGTCAGATCCCACGCGGACAATCATGGTTTGCATCCTGGCCCCTAACAACGTGAAAACCATGCCAGACATGTGTGCGTGCCCCAAATCTTGACAGGACAGAGAAACGAAGAAGGGATTGGGACATGACCCATCCCATCGGGTGGGTGCTTTCTCCTACTCTCTTCTCTGGCAAGGACATGTACCATCTGGCAATTAAGCAAACAAACAAACAAAAACAATGTCTGTGATTTCATCATGATATTCTCACACTGAAAAAAAGAAGAAGAAAATGATCAAAATATTCATCAAGGACCCAGCAGGTAGCCTGGCGGGAAGGCACTGGACTCTCACATGGTCAACCATGTTTTGAGTCCCAGACCCAGCAGCTAGAAAGTCATCCCAGGCGCATGCACATGTGTACCCAGAATCCCCAGAAGTGAATAAAGAAGGGATTATGGCATGGCCACTCTGCCTGCAGGGTTATTTCTTACTTTCTGTCTCTTTACCTCTCTCTGTGTCTTTGGTGAGCACACATGCCCTATAGCAAAAATCCCTCTCTCAAAAAAAAAAAAAAAATCCATCATGGGAGCAGCAGTTAGCATAATGGCTATGTCACTGGACTCCCGCGTAGTCAACCAGTGTTCAAGTCCTGGACCCGGTGGTTTAAACTCACACCGGGCACGTGTGTGTGCGTGCCCAAGATCCCGAGAGGAGAATGGAGGAGAAGGGATTGTGGTATGGCCATCCCCCCGGGGGGTGATTTCTCACTTTCTCTCTCTGTCTTTCTGATGAGCACACATGCCCTAGAGCAAAAACCTCTCAAGAAAAAAAAAAATCCATCAATAGAAAATTTAAAAAGCAATCATAGTATTTTTACATGGTGGAATAGTTATAAAAATGCAGCTATGAAAAGATTTTTAAAAAAGAATCTGCCTCTGCTGGCAGCGCCACTCTTCCCTGCTCCTCCTTCCTAGCCATGGCGTTCACGGTCGTGGCCTTCTGCTGCATGCTGGAGCTGCTGCTCACCGCCATGCTCATCTTCTCTGCCATCTGGCACATTATAGCATTTGATGAGCTGAAGACTGATTACAAGAATCCTACAGACCAGGGAACCAGCAGTTAGCGTAATGGCTATGTCGTTGGTCTCCCACATAGTCAACCACGGTTCGCATCCCGGACCCAGTGGCTTAAAACTCATGCCGGGCGCGTGTGCGAGCGTACCCAAGATCCCGCGCGGAGAATGGAGGAGTAGGGAGA